GGGAATGTTCTAACCTTCACAACTGTGAACTACAATGTCATATTATATTGTTTTATGATTTTTGGTAAACTGAGGGTAGAATTTGGCATTGGAAAAAATGGTCATCCAACTTTTAAGATAATTTTAATAACAAAATAATATTTTTAAAATACTAGTTATTTATTCTCTGAAAATTTTATGCACGTATGCAATGTATCTTGAGCATGTCCATGGCTGTAGTTGTGGCCAAATAGTTCAAGTGATGGACAAGGAAATGGTGTAGTCTTACCAAAAGTATTTGTCTTTGTGAAGTACATCATTGGTAGCCAACGTAGGTATTCTATACACTAACGGAAGTATACTAGTAAGGCTTTCCATGTCGTCCAACATTAGTCATTTTCCTGTGGTGGGGTTTTCAAATGCCCCTTCCAGTTGTTTAAAGACATATGGTAAGAAGTATTAATCAATAGGTGCCCTATTGTACTGCAGCAAACTGGAAAGAGTTCTTTTCTCTGTGTTGGTGTCCCCAAATCTATTGTTATTCTCAACATTAATTTTTTCTTGTCCCCCCCCCCAAGCAGGGTTTCTCTGTGTAGTCTTGTCTGTCCTGCAACTCTGTCTGTAGATCAGGCTGGCCTCAAACTCACATAAAACTGCCTGCCTCTGTCTCCCAAGTGCTGGTATTAAAGGCATACACTGCCACCGCCTGAATAACCTTTATTTATTTTTTTATTCCAAGAAAGAAGCATGAATTCTTAAAGATTTATAGATCACTGTTTATTATGATGCTACCACTCAGTTCTAGCCCATCAGTGGCCAACCTAAGATATAAGTATTTTGGTGCTGAGGTATTTCTGGGTGGAATTTTATGCTGTCTGGACATCCTTCATCATTATCCAGAGGATGGCAGGTAAGAGGTGCACAGAGGAAATAATAGTGGCCTTGAGTTGGTAAAGGCATATAATATGTAGTATGTGCTATTGGTGGTCAGAGTGATGTCCATGCATCAAAACATACTCTGATTTTGCATGTTTGGAATTTTGTTCTGAAGTGTATCATGAAGACACTTAGATGCGCCTTTTGGAACAGCCCATCTATGCTTTAAATCCTGCCTCTGACCAGGCTTTACCTTTCCAACTTCTTAACCAACACCCTGTCTGCTTGGGGATACTGCAAGATTCTCCTAAATGCATCTCTGGTTTTTTTATTTTGCCCATCACCCCAGTCTAATCTCTCCATGTCATTTGGAGTAATTTTTTTAAAGCACAATGGGTGAGATTGTCTTTAATTTCTTAGATCCAAATTCATTGTAATTAAATGTGAATCTTTGCTAAGCTCTTCATCGATGGCCCGAAGATTCTGTGCCTGCATGCTACCCAGAATTCTCTTTCCACAGCCATCCTTATCTGCAGTCAGGCTCCTGCGTCAATGACTAAACAGTCCTCCAGACATATACATGTATGTGCCCATGGATACCTTCCTCGGCTTTGTTTTTCTTAATAGTACTCATTACTATTAGGTAGTGCAAATTCACTTATTTTTCTATTACCATCTTTGTCTTTGACTTAAGCTCAATAAATTATTTCTGATTTTTTTTTGGTCTTAACAATAGTAGGTATTTCTTAAGACTTCAGTAGGTATTTATTTACTAAAGGAATAATTGGCATTGTCCCCAGTTGCTTAAAATAGCAGTTTTTGAAAAATTGCGTATTTTAAAGCAGGCAATTCCTCATGTCTAAAGGAATTCTCTTTTATAAACAGAGCCCTCAATAATCCCTGACAGCGTTTTTCTGCTGACTGGTAGAGAGGGATTTGGATGGGATAATTTATGTCAGAGTGCACGTTAATGTACAGACGTTTGGTTCTTATGTTACTAATAATTGCCTGTTGATGAGAAATGGCTGATAGGTCTTCTGAGCAGGATACACTTTATGTTTAACAAATGTATTCTCCACAAGTTGATGCCATTTGTGTAAGTAAACAGGCTCGTGAATATGTTACTGCTTTGAACCTGTCTGCCCTGATTGATGAGGCCTGGTATTTCAGTGAGGAGAATGCTGAGTGTGTCCTGATGTCTCTAAGAACCATCATGGGTGTAAGAAATGGTGGGCGGGATTGCTATGGTAGAATATCAAATTTTCAGGCAATTGAGTTCTTTATAATTAACATTTTAAAGCAGGAAATGAAAACATAAGTGGAAGTTTTAGGATGAACTTGTCGAATAAAAATTCTTAAAAGGATGAACCTCTCAGATAAGAAAGTAAAATTTCTGTTTCAAACAGGGAGTGAGGTTGCCTTAAAGGTTAATATTCTTAGGCTGACACATGCTATGAGCCGGTCTGCTTTGTGGCCCTTCCCAGTTCTGCCCTGGTGGTTCCTGTGGTTTTATGGGCAGTTTTCCATGCTGCTAAGTGAATGGGAGCTTCTCAGAGAACATGAGTCACTCCTCACACCTAAGGAACTTGCTGTTTTCTTGCCCTTTGGAATCTGAACACTGAAGTGAAATCTACCTTATAATGTAGGAATCACTCACTCATCTAGTGGCTTCTCATCTCAGGTTTTTATAGACCAGGGGAACCCAGAGATGGTGCCAGGTAAACCTCAGTTGAGTTTAAGGCCAGAACGGTAGGCTGGAGCCTTCCTGGCTGCCTCTTGCTTCTTTTCTCCTTTCCTGAAAGGCCAGTTATACACCGAGCACTTTAAAAATCTTTGGAGAAAGGCATCCTTTGAGGCACACAAATTAACTCATGACATTTACTGCAGCTCCCAGACCTCGCTCTCTCCCTAGCTTCCCTGACTTTTGGGCTTCTGTTGTCCACTTCTTGTAACTGCTCATCTTAGCAGAGTGAGAGCATGTAGGTTTCTGTGATGCCTCAAAGTCCATCCACAAAATAAGCTCCTCAGTACTTGGGTCCATGCTCCTCTATACCACATCTCTTGCTTAGGTTCCCACTTGCGAATATGAACCCAAAATGCTGCCTTCTTTGATAACAAAGCAATGGTCCAGCATCTTCACAAATGAGATGTAATGGGATCCTGAAGAGTTAGCACTCCATGACTGCCTCTTGTTGAGTCTCCTCCAGTGTACCTAACCATCTGTCATGTTTGCCCTGCGCACTGGCATGAAGAGGTTGTTCAGGAGCCTTCCTGCCTGCCCCTCGCTCTTTCTGTCCTCTTTCCCAGAAGACCAGTATTATCCTTGGCACTTTAAAAATCTTTGGAGAAAGGCATCCTTTGAGGCACATGAAGTATATACCAAAAGGTCTCCTTTCTGGAATGAACAAAAGGCACCCTATTGTCTGGGCAGCTGTCAAGCATAAGACTTAACTAACAGCCTTGGCTGGTCTAACTCCAGCTTACATATCCTCAGCTGGGTACCTAAGCCCTCCAACCACAAATCTAGCCTCTGCTTTATAAATTACTGAATAGCTAGTTTAGGAGCCATCAGGGCCTGCATAGTGATGGGCTTTGCTGGTCTACAGAGCCTTTCTCATTGCCCTGTACTAAATTTGACCTTGAATTATTTCTATTGTCCTTGCTCTCCCGTCTTTCAGTTTCCAGCTCGTTTCTCATTGAACTCTCATATTTAACCCGATAGCAGGAGAAATAAAATAATGCGATCGCCTAAAATAACTTAAAGTAATACCAATTATATAACATCTCCCCATTTATTCTCTCAAATATGGAGACGAAGGGAAGTGCTAGTATTTTCAGCAAAGCTGATAATAATGCTTTGCCTTTGCCAGCCTCTGGATCAGTTAGGGTTTTTGTGCTTTTATTTTTTTATTTTTACTGTACCCCTCTCCCTGGGTGCTTCTCTTGGGCAACAGCTGCAAAGATTGAAGAAAAAAGAGTTTACTAACATATGTTAAATTTTAGACTTGAGCCAAATTTACTATTCCAGATTTCACTCGAAATAGGATGAAAGTATGAAGCTGGGCTAAGCAAGCAGCCAGAGGGACAACTAGAGAGGAGGACATAAGAAGGTGAAGTTGAGGCCAGAGGGGCCTGACATCCTAGCTCTGTGAAGAAGGCGGCTATAGCCAAGAACATCCATCTGGGGCAAAGGCAGAGACAAGAGATGGGATTTGGAAAAGTTGAACCACATGGTGCTGAGCTTTTGAAGAGTAGCCAAAGAGAATCTAGTTTTTCTTGAAATTACTGGCTTTGGAATTTAATATTATATGCAAACTTCCATCCATCCATATATATACATACATACATACATACATACATATATGTGTATATATACATATATATTATAAATATATTTACAATCTGAACTTGCAAGTCACTGAAGTCTCACATGTCACTTTGTGAAAACAAAAGAATTTTATTCTGAGGGGACCTTTAGTGGATGATCAAGGAGCATCCTTTCCTTTTACAATCAAATGTTTATATGACAACTTCATTACAGAACTCACGAGGTTTTTAGAGAAATGATTATGATCCATCATCAGATATGCATCATGTGGCACACATAAGAACTTACATCAAAATGCATGCATAGCTGGCGACAGTGAATATGTATATAAATATAGAAACAGTGGTAGAGTCTGAGCAAAATGCCTGCCTGGGATGCTTTACTTTAGAAAACATTCAACTCCTTTGAGACCCTTCTGTGCTAAGATCAAAGACTGATTTGTTTTGCCTTTTTTTAGTCTCAAAAAGGGCTTAATAAATAGCAGCCATTTCTCTGGGGTGCCTTTCTTCTCTGGGGTACTGTGAAAAGAAGCAGGAAAAGTTTGAGAGAAAGCTTATCTGCATTCCTAAAGCCCAGGTGGGGATGTGTTTTGCATGTGTGAAGAAATGAGCTTGAGCCCATTAATTGTGTTAGTGGTTCTCATGCTTCCACTTGTGTTCCCTTGGGTAACTCCCTCTCAGTCTACCCACTGGCCCAGGAGGAACGATGGATGGTGCCCACAGCTTCCTTGAGTTTTCACACCACTGCTGCATAGGATGCGTTAATCACTTAGCATTCTTTTCTACTATACACGCTAGCCAAAGGGTGGCTTACTTACTTGTGTTTATCTTCTGGAGTGAAATATGCTTTTCCAGTTGTCTGCGGAGTTTCACCTCTGCTCCATATTTTCCCGTGGTCCCATTGTCAGCCAGGATGAAGTGGGAATGCATGCTGTTGAGAACAGTGAGCTTGCTCATGGGGTTGGACATGGTCTGGTATGGCCGGACCACCTACAGGCAGCAAGATGAAGCCGAAATCAGAAAAGGGAAAACAAGATGTGAGACAGAGGATGAGAGAGATTGGAGGAAGGCAGGATAGGTCTCTGGTACAGTAAAGTCGACACTCTCTTCCTGGAGCTACTTTGAGTAGATAGAAGATCAATGGTAAAATCCTATTCAAAGGAAGACTATGCTTAAAGACGCATTTCTTACCAATTCTGCAGCTTATGCCTTCAGTGTAGTAAAGAGCTATGTGCTGATGACTGAATCAAAATTGGCATTTTGTTACTGAGCCAGACATAGTTTTTAAGGTCAACCAATGTATTTTTTTCTTCCCTTCTTCTGTCATGTCCATGATTTAATAGGTACTATAGGGGTCAGTTTCAGGAGTTGGGGAAATGGCTGGTTTTTTTTGTTTTTGTTTTTGTTTTTCTGTTCAACCTCACTTAGCCACTGGAAGCTCTGTTATTTAAAATCAACACTCTCCTTTATAGACTCCTTAAGTGCAAAATTGCTTGAATATAAAATAACGGTCTTATGAGATAAAAACAAATTAGGCCTAAAATTTTTATCTCTGTTGTGTTCTCGCTCTTATTTCTATTTTAATTTCATAATGAATTGTATTCAGTAAAACAAAGCCATTTCAACACAGTCTTTGATGATTTTTGCTCATCATATCTATGATGAGCTAGTTGCTTTTTATGTAGAATCTGCATTCCATGTTATAATCCTACCTCACAGGTTATGTTTATTTTTATAGATGGGAATGTAAAAAAGTAAATAGGTGAGTTATCTAAAAATTTAGACAAATAGTCAGAACTTGCATCTAAGCCTGATTCAAAACTCTGAGCTTATTACTCTTTCCATACCATTCAGACCAAATCAGACATACAGTATATTGGCAAACTAGTGCTAAAATATCTAGGCTGGAGCTTTCAACTGGAGTTGATGAAAAGAGGCCGTTCAGTTGGTTCCTGGTTGCACAGTCTCAGTATGGCTGCTCCTGTACAAAATCACTGAAATTGGCAGGACAGAAATAGATGCTACTGGGCTCTTACTTTTGTGCCTTTGTATAATGCATCCATTAATTATACAGATGAGATGTGCTTAGTCCTTCCAGCATGTAATAACTCATCATACAGTAGTGGAGTAAGATTGAGTTGTGTGTTAAAGGCATTACAGAGTGATTTAGTAAGGGCAGTTTCCAATAGTGAAGAGCTCATGTAAGTCATTTTTTAGACCTTGATCCTCATTTAAAACCCACAGTCCAGTGTGCCTGGAAGATGAAATGTACTCAATAAACCAAATGAATAGGCAAACCCAAGGCAGGCATGCTTTTGTTCAAACCTGGGAAGGCAATGGATGCTTTCTTTTCAGAGTTGTTAGGGAACCAAACTGATTTAAATTTAAAATATGTATATGATCCTGAGCTTTTGAAATGATTTTCAGTCCTGTTATATGTGTTCTAGTTTTTAAATACAGCGTCAATATAATGCCAGCTCAGAGTTTCATTTTAATTGCTCCTTGTTGATTCTGAAGTCTGATAACCTTGATTATCGCTTCTAATAACCTTATGGGCAATGGCCAATTGCTGCCTTGTCCAGAATGTGAGTGGGATTTTTCCAGAATGAAGAGGCCTGTATTGCAAGGTCTGTCTTGCATTTCCTAGCACTAGAAGAGTGGGTGGCTTATGGTTGCAGTTCCCATTTGTTGCCACTCATAGTTGATCACGAAACATTCACCCTGCAAGGGGAGTGCACACTAATAAATGTTAATGCTTTTCTGAAAAGCTGAGCAAAAGACCTTATCCTTTTCGGAAAGTGTTTCTGCACTGTGCAGTGGGCAGAGGAAGATGCTTTAGCTACTGTGCTGATTTTCGGTTGCAGGTCCTGAGGACTTGGTGCCAAGGGGGGTGTGGGAGGGCACAGCAACTCTTTGAAGGGCAGGGGAGACTGGAGTTTTAGAGATTAAACAATGTATGACAACGAACCCTAGTCATTCGTGCTGGTTCTCTGTCTATGTCCTCCATCCTTCCTCCTGCCCCACTTTAGCTTATGAATCTACTTAAAGACTATTAGTGAAAGTAAAAATTTCAGGTAGGAGGAAAAAGGAATGAAAATGATTCTGAACTCAGCTGAGTACCGCATCAGAAAACAAAAGGCGATTACCCTGTCTACCTGTGACCTCTTTCCTCCACTGCTGACTCCTAACCCTGGTGCTTCAGTCTCTAGACGTGTGACAGCCCTCTCTTGTGAAATACAGCTCGCCTGTGCTTAGAGGACGTTGTACACCTGCGTCAGCCGTGGCAAAACTGTCAGAGTTTGATGTCTTGATTATCCAAATCCTCTTTCTCTTGATCTTATGTATAGCAAGTTATAGGTTGCCGTCTTTTGGCAGAGAGGTTGTCTGCTGAACAATAGAGGATATAAATCTGAAAGATGAGTAGAGTTCCACAGTATTTCTGTCCCCGTTGGAGGAAGCTTTACAGAGTGCTGGAGGATGTCCAACAACATGAATTAAAGCAAGAATGGCAGCTCTGTCTATGGTTGTTGGACCCGAGTCACTTACTTTGTAAAAAGGAAATGATAAAACTACTGACCTCAGGGGACTGGTTTAGATTACATGTGCAAGGTACCAGGCACAATGCCCAGCTCTTAGCAAGCATTTTAGAACATTAATTTTTTTCCCAGCTCTACTCTGTCTTACCAACTATATGCTTCCAGTTGTAAGCCAGCAAATCAAAGCATTATATGGGATAAACCACTCAGTTTTGTCTTACACAAGAGATTTAGATCAATGTAAAGAGAAGGAAAACAATCAACCAGCTGTTGGCAAAATATGCAAAGTATGTTTGATTTGTTACACTCCTCCAGGCATCTAAGAAGGTGATGGCTTGGAACTATCTGTTGATTAACTGAAACTTTGGAAACAATTTACATCCTTCAGAGAAACACGTTTTGGTCTAACTGCCTACCAAATCCACTTAATATTCTTCATTACAAACATGCCCACAGTCTTTTCCAATTTGAGTTACTGTCTGCACATATACAAAGATTTACTGATCTTTCTTGTGTATTTTCCAAATCGAACCAACGCTACTTTTTAAATAACTGGAACACAAACAAACTTCTCCCCCTGGCAGGTTTTTGAGGCAGCTCTGCCATTTTTATTGCTGAGAGCTCACAGAGGGAGGATGGTTGTCTTTGGAAGTGTGTGTTGGTGAGTATGATGGTGATGTTTTCTTGGTACACTGGGTGGCTGCCCATCCTTCTAACGGGGACTTTGGGAGAATGTTAAGTCATAAAGCCCAGGGCCTTCCCCAGGGAAGGTGTTTCACTTTCTCTCCTACAAAGACAGGAGAGTGAAGGTCACATAGCACTCCTTGGAAGAACTGATAAGGCAGACACCCAAATAATTTTCTGTGTTTCATTCTTCAGATCATAACTTGAATTGAAGAATGTTGAATAGTGTCTGGAAGGCCTTTTAGTCAGTTTTCATGATAAATAAATACATTTATTTAGTAGTGTACTTTAGAACCTTTCTACTCTCTGGCCATTACTGGCCATTGTGCATATAAGTAATGAAATTTTCTTCTTGTCCCTCAAGAGTAAGTGATTATGTACCTTTACTTGCTAATCTATCGCATACCATTTAGTATTGCACTGGGTGTTTGATAGTATTCTGGTCCATGCCTCTATTTATCTTACTTTTGAGAGGGAACACCTTTGTGAAGTAGGGATCTTGCAAGGGTTTATACAAGACATTTGCAGGAAACATCTTCATGTGTTGGTCATAGACATTTGTAATCTGTGCATGGGCTTAAGTCAGCCATTAACAGGCTGGTCTAAGGTAGCTGCTGGAGTTTTTCTAAGTATTTTCAGGCATGCCATAGACTCATTTAAGAGTATTTCTAGGAAAGCAGCATATAGAGACTACAGTTTTGTTTCTATAGCTACTACCTTGTAACCTTGGTCCAGCATCTGAGATCACTGCCCATTCATCCAAAAACTTGAGGTAATGCAGCCTGTGCTGGCACTATGCTGTCCTTTGGATGGATGATTATATATCAAGATAGTGCCTCCTAATAAATGTTTAAGATATGCTTAGTTTTCTTATCTGTAATGTAAGCTGGAAGTTTCCTGCCTCTAAAACCCGGGTCTGTATAAGCTGTGTTAAAAGCACTCTTCCTAATTCAAGTCAGTGCAGAACAGTGACCTAAAATGAGAGTGGGCTACAGAAGCCGAGTCACACCTTCTCTCATGCACTGCAATCTTTTCCTTCTTCTGGTGCTTTCAGCGGTGCAATGACAATTTGGTCCCCTGGGATTCCTTTTCCTAACAGAACTGAGTTTGGCTAAATTAGGTTTCTATGCTATCAATCAGAGGCCCTCTGCAGTTGCAAGTCCATTTCTTAGTGGCTTGTGTATCAACATGCCCTAGGCAAGCAGCAGAGTAGGGAACACGTGTCTTGAAGAGTCATCTTCTAATAGAAGCATAGTTTTAATTTAGACCAGAAGAACATGAGCATTCATTAAGCACATTGAGCATTCTATTCACAGTGAGGACAAGATCCCATGGAGTAATGTCTTGGGCTTATTTTACCCTGGGGAACTGTAAAGCTCTGAGATGTGAGGTGTCTTGGCCAAATGTATTCCACTAGCCATGTGTAGATCTGATGTCTCTTTATAAGTCACTGCATATTAGGAAAAAAAAAACAGAACAGGGAATGGCCTCATTTTAAATTTATAGAGGATACTGTGGTTGGCTTTGCTGCCGGCATTTTTGCTAATTCGTCATCTGGCTTTGGAATCCTTCAGACATCTGAGCACACTGTTTCTGGTAAAGCCATCTAGAATGGTTATATGGAGGTCAAGAGAGGTACTAGCTGGGATCCAGATGCAGTTGTGAAACAAAAGGATCTAGCATCTTATTCTGCTAGGGAACTGGGGTACTGCTGAGAAGTGGGAATCAACCTTTGTGCCAGAGATAAAGGAGCATGGGTACTGAGAGGAT